GCGGCTCTCTAAGTGTCCGTTAGCAAGTTAGGCATTCACGGGGACGGGTGTTAGCTTGACGTCTCATGCGCTTCTTTCTCAGAACAATACACGTGTCCCCATGAACACGCGATACAGAGCGACCCAAAACATCTTTACTGTTAACAGGAAATACAGTAACAGCACGTGTGTGCGTGTGCGTGTGTGTGTGTGTGAGAGAGAGAGAGAGAGAGAGAGAGAAAGTGGCTACAAGTGAGCCACTTCTATATTAAGTAAACTTAATGTGCAGAATATGTATTTTTCTAGAAGGAAAATAATTCTTAACACACTTCATTTCTGTCTACAATTAAAATACAGCTTATCTTTTTTTTTTTGTTCCAAGGACTTTGAAGACAACTGTATCCTTCATTTAAGAAATTTGACTCTTATTTCCTGCAGTAATTGGACTGTTTTGTAAATGATATGCTCTGGTCTGAAGTGATGCTGTATCTCTTTACAAACCAAACGCACCCTTAGCTGGGCAGAAGGGAGCCCAGCATGTGTCAGATAGAAAGGTGAGGTTTTGTCTCCCCACCATGTAAGTTTCTTCACTCTCTGACAACATTCTCATAACAAAAATCAGGTTAAGGAAAGAAAAGCATAGTAGAGTTAATCAAAGTTTTATGTGGCACAGGAGCACTTGGAAATAAAGATCCAAAGACCCACGAAGAATTGTCCATTTTTCTGTTCGGGTTCAGTGAAACATGGACAGCAGGCAGCAATGTGATTTGACAGAGGGTCTGGCCAAGTGGTAACAAACCAGGGGCAGTCTTGGGTACTTTTCTTTTGTCGGTGAGACAAAATAACCAGCACACAAAATTAAGGAAGGAAAGGTTTATCTAGCTCAGAGATTGTGGAGGTTTCAGGCCGTAATCAGCTGGTTCCAAGGCAGAGTGGCACATAGCAGAGGGTAGCAGTCCAAGGCGCAAAAGACAGCAAAGGTGACAGGAACACAAAGGGGGACAGAACACGCCTCTGTTCCTCCCTTATACTGTAAGCAGACTCGGCCTGAGGGGGCGGGGCGTAGCACTCAGCAGTCTGTGCCCTCCTGTAGTCCACAAAGTGAGGACCCTGGGCCCCTGCTGAGTCACTTAGTTAAACTTCTAAACTTCTCAGGTTGACAGGAGGAGCAACATGGCAGAGCTTCAGGGATTATCCGCCCCCATGAAGAACTGCTGAGTCACTTAAGCATTTAGACTTCTCAAGTTGACACAGTGTATCAACCCTAACACTGGACCATGTGCTAATTTATTTTTATTCTGCTTACTCGTGTTTTCTATAGGAGCTGCACCACCTTACCTTTCCACCAGCAGTGCACGTGGGTCCTATTTGCTCGAGCTCCCAGCACTTGTTATTTGGGGCTTTTTTATTGTGACCATCCTAATGCGTGTGAAACCGAATCTTCCCGTTCTGATCACATTTCTCCAATGATCAGTGATGCAGACTAGGTTTCAGGCGCTCATAGACCATTGTATGTCTTCTTACAGAAAAACATACTCAAGCCTTTGTCCATTTTTAACTGAATTGTTTTTGTTATTGAATTTTAGGAGTTGTGTATCCTGGGTATACTGATCTCTCTTCAGTGTACAGACTGCAAATCTTTTCTCCTTTGCATGTATTGCATTTGAATCCTGCATTAGAGTACCCTTTGGTACAGATAGATCTTAAGTTTGGTACACTCTGGGTTTTGTACTTTTTCTTATTTATTTATTTTTCTGTATTTTAGAGAAGGGTTTACAGGGTGTTCAGGGCCTCACTACTAGATTGGACTCGTAGTGATTCTCCTGTCTACAGCCTCCCAAATGCTGGGATTACCGGCGTGCACCACCATGCCCAGTGTCAATTGCCATCTAGAGCACTCCGGGGGTGGGGCTGGCACGGCAGGCCCAGGGATTGAGCCCCCAGCCCCTGCGCCTGCTTGCAGGTGCTAACCGCTGAGCTATTTGGCTGGCCCTTGTACTTCCTCTTTTGTTGTCTATGTTTTTGGTGTCACTGCCACATTCAATGTTGTAAGCATCCATGGGTCTCAGTGTGGTCCACTCTACCTGGGGAGAAGCGAAACGGCAGCAGGAATGAGGAAAAGACAGCAAGAAGACAAGAGCTGGGTTTAGTGGTGGCTCCTCTGCCAGGATGGCGAGATGAGCAGCGCCCCCCAGCAACAATGTGGACGTTTATTTATACCTTTGTAAAGGTACTAACATGTGACACGTCGCCTAGTGACTACTAGCTGAGGTCAACCAGTCAGGATGCTTATCTCGGGACTGAGGTAGCTTGCCTGCTTTTGGCACTGAGGCCTAGTCCTGCTTACACACATTTGACCAATTTTCTAGCTTCCATGGCTCCAACAATGTCATGAACTTTTCTGTTTCCTTCTATAGAAGTTTTAGTTTTACATTTTAGTCTTTGAGTTCATTCTATGTTAATGCATGTACCTGGCCTAAGGAAAGCGTCTAGCTTCATTCTCTTGCATCTGGACGTACAGTTTTCCTAACACAATTTATTAAAAGTACTGTCCTTTCCCTATTGAGTAGTCTTGGCCTCCGTTATTGCCTGTATCTAGATGTCCCCCAGAGCCTAAAGTGCTCCTCGATGAGGCTTCGGGCAGGTGGCTAGATCACACGCGTGTGATCACTGGATTGGTGCACTGATCGGTTTAGCACAGTTCTAAGTATGAGTTCTGGATTTACTGAAGAAGAAAGCTTCATCCAGGTGTAATCCCATCCTCGGTGGAATATAAATGGGGAGAGAAGAAAGCCCAGCTTGCCGCCTCCTGCCTGCCCTGCCCTGGGCAGTTTCTCCTCTCTGGTGCTCCTTGACCACGCTACCCTGTCTTCGAGCCAGCCAACTATGGATTGAAACCTCTACTGTGAACTGAAATAAACCTTTCCTCCTTTTTTTTTTTTTTTTTTTTGGTGGAACTGGGGACTGAACTCGGGCCCTTGTGCTTGCCAGGGAAGCACTTATTCTACTGAGCCATCTCCTCAGCCCCCTTTCCTCCTTTAACTTATAGGTGTCAGGTTGTTTTGTTCCATCAGTGAGAAGGTAACTAAAATGGCCACCTTGTTGAAAGTCATGCATGGGTTTACTCCTGGGCTCTGTATTCTGTTCCACCTATCCCTGCCTTGTGAACTCACAGGAGCAAAGCCAGACACCCTGCGGTGCACTATGTTGCTAAGCTGCAACGTACAATATCATGGCCACACTGTTTGATACCTGGAGCTATGCAGGAAGTTCTGAACTCAGTAAGTCTAAGTAACTTTATTGCTCTTTTTTCAAGATTGCTTTGGTTTTCTGTGTGAATTTTAGTATGGATTGAGTCTTCCAATCTGTGAAGACAGATCTCTTTTCATTCTTGGAGCCGTATCAGCCTCCTTTATGTTCTATCACAGAATACTACAGACCAGCACACTTATAAACCACAGAAATTTGTTTCACAGTTCTGGAGGCTGAAGGTAAGAAAAGGCAAGAGGCGCAGGACGAGGCAGGGAGGACAGTCTTCCATGATCCTTCCACCAGGAGCTGCAGTGACGTCTCAGTTGCTCTTCTCTCATTGCTGGGACAAATGCCCAATACTCAAAATAAAGGAAGGTAAGGTTTATGTAGCTCACAGTACTAGAGGTTTCAGTCATACTCAGCTGACTCCAAGGCAGAGTGGCACATGACAGAGAGCAACCTTTCAAGGCAGCGCCAAAGAGCAACGAGCAAAAGACAGTGGCAGCTCGGGCAGCTAGCTAGCTTCTCATCCCGCCTCACACTGCAATGCAATTTACCTGGCCCAGGGCAGGTGCAGCATCCACATCCACGGTAATCAATCACAAATTCCGGAAGCTGCCCCATGACAGCTTGAAGCTTTGGGGGGGACACCAGTACACAAACCATAACAAGTGGCATTAATCCCAGCCCTCGTGGCCTGATCACTTGGAGAGGTCCTGTCTCTTAACTCCATCACAAATGGTAAATTTCAGTCGGATGTTTGGAGTGGACATTTGATGCCAGCAGATGACTTCTTGGATTTCTTTCAACAGTATTTCATGCAGTGCTGCGTGCGGAGGACGCTCCAGAGGACCATTGCCAACAGCATAAAAGGAGACTGGAGAGGAAGAAGACAGCTGTTGATCCTTCTGGAGAAGCTTGTCCCGCTGGCCTTCCTGATTTGAACTTGACTATTATCAGCGGAGCTCAGGTCCTCACTGTCGCTGAGGATGGCTGCATGAGCTCAGGTCCTCCCTGTCGCTGAGCATGGCTGCATGAGCTCAGGTCCTCGCTGTTGCTGAGGATGGCTGTGGTTCTTTTCGGAGTTCAGTCCGTCTTTACCTCTAGCATCGCTTCCTGGCTCCAGTGCAGATCCCTCAGCCTGCTGGCACAGACCCTTCATCCGCGGGCACAGACTTCCTAGCTTCCACTACTGACCTAGGGGCCTTCCCAGTGCAGATCCTTGGTACAGACTTGCATGGCACACGGCCCTGGGCTCTAGGTCTTCAGCAGGACTCATGCAGGACATTGCTGTGGGATCCAGGCCTTCAGCTGGAGTCTTTGCGTCTCTACTGCACGGATATCTTTTGCCTCTGCTGAAGGTGCTGAAAAGGCCACGGGCAGGGCACGTGGGGAAGCGCGTGGGTAGGCAGTGTCATTCAGAGGCACGAAGCCCCGCCCCTTCTCCTTGTGGGTCTCCAACTCAGATCCCAAAGACTTCAAATTCCGGACTGTCAATCAGAAGTCAGCGAGGCACCTTGGGCTCACTGCGCCTGCGCAAACCTCCCGCGGCGCAAGGGCGCCTAGGAGCAGAAAACTACACTTCCCAAGATGCCGTGCGCTTCGCCCCACCTATACTGCCAGCACGCATGCGTACACGGAGACCTGCGGGTAGCTTAGCTTGTGGAGGAGGTGAAAGTGCTGGCGCAACCCAAAACCGCGTATAGCGCTGGGACTTGGAGTCCCTAAAAGCTCATTCTGGTCGGCGAGTGACCCGGAAGCTTCCCCGGCCCTCGCGTCATGTTCGGCGCCGGCGCACAGCCGGAGGGAGGCGGGAACGCTTGGAGGCCACGGCGGTCGGCTGAGCGAGGCAAACTTCGGCGGCGCTGTCGGAGATTATCGACTCTCGATGGCGCCCCCAGCGACTTAGAAGCCCGCGCCGCGGCGAGCCGCTGAGTGTAGTCCTTCTGCGGTGTCCGACCCAGAGACTTCTGAGTGCTTAGGTCACGATGGTGCCACCAGCCAGGCTGTCCTGCCGGGGTGAGAGGGGACGCCGGACCGGGACAAGTGCAGAGAGGTGGAGGCGGTGGGGCGACGCGGGCAGGGCCACGCTCGCGCAGCCTCGCCTCCGCTCGGGGTCTCGGGCTGCCGTAGAGCAAGGTCAGTGCTGTCCGCCCGGTGGACCAGGCTTCCTCCCCCGGAGGTTGCCCCAGTTGGAAGAGTTACCATGTAGGCTAAAGGTCGTGCGCAGAAAATCCGTCGGTGCCGCTCAGCTGGTTAACTTACTGGCCCTAGCTCCTCTCGAGCTCAGGTGTTTTCTGTTGCCTTGTGGGGAATCGGAAAAACTGTATTCACGCATGTTTTCTATTTGCTCCTAGCTCGACTTTTGTCTTTACAGCCAGTAACTACAGTCTTGAGAATGTGAAGTCTGATGTGTCCTATCACGATTGACATTCATATGCTGCCCAAGTCCCAATTAACATGGAGAGCTAGGAATTTTTCTGCATTATCTGAAATTAACTCTGGGAATTTATGTATAGTTCTTGGGACAATTGAATGATATTTTAAAGTTTTTACTTAAATTTTTTTAGAGGATCTTGAATTCTGTCCTAACTGGCATAAAGTTACTGAAGTTAACTTCAGTTTATGGAATCTTCAAAGAAGTATAGGTATTGTAAATTCAAGTCTGTTCATGTGTAAGCTTCATAAAAGTAGAGTTTAGGTAAATTTACCCGCCCCACATATTTAGAAGTTTGTCTCAAGTTTCTGCTACTCATGCATCTGTTATACATCTAATATGTAGATATGCTGATTTTATTTTTTTTATTTGGTACCGAGAATTGAACTCAAGACCTTGCGCTTGCCAGGCAGGTGCTCGTGCTGCTGAGCTATCTCCCCAACCCACTTCATGTTTTTTGAACCATCAGTGTAATCACATACTGTCCACATCTCAGTGCAGTCAGTCTTGGGCTTCCTTGAATGTCTTGTCTTTTTTTTTTTTTTTTTTCTTTCTTTGGAGACAGAGACACAATGTAGTTCTGGCTGGCCTTGAGTGCATTACCTAGCCCAAGCTGGGCTCAAACTCAGCGATCCTTCTGCCCCAGCCTCTGAAGTGCTGGGGTAACAGGTGTGCGCCACCACACCTGGCTGTTTCTCTTTTCTTTGGATACTCATTCCTCGCCAGTTTTAGAGCCTGCTGTTAGCACTGTTGACAATCAAGAGGTGGACACAAATGTGATACCCGGTGTTAGGAGGTCATTGGACTTTGCTCCTTCATTTGTCTACCACCATTCAGCCACCACGCACCAATGTTCAGTTCTCTAAAGTGAGATCCACCCAGTGCATGCAGGCCTATGATCCCAGCACTGGGGAGGCTCAGGCAGGAGGATCATTGCAAGTTCGAGACTAGCCTGGGTCTGAACCCAGTGCCTTGACTCTGAGCTACTTGCCCAGCCTCCCTTCTTTCATGCTCTGTGTTGTTTAGACAAGGTCTTCCCGAGTCCCTCAGTTGTCCTGGCTCACTGTCAACTTGCCATCTTCCTGCTTCAGCCTCCCAGAGATCTAAATTGTATCAGCGCAGGTCAACTTCTTTGTTTAGTTTTTGTACGTATTTTTACAGTTTATATTTAGAAGTTTGTTTTCCAATAGATGCTTCAAAATGAGACAATTTAAAAGATGGAAACAGCCTCATAGTTATTATTAAACAGATTTGCAGATTCCTATGTGTCAGTTGAAATTGTAGCTAGGAAGGCACCTATGCGTTAGCAAACATGTATTTGAGACTTGCTATGTAATACAAGGCCCTTCATTATTTATAAGACAAAGTTTGTTATGGACCTCTGAACTCTTTTAGAACATTTTGCTGAGTTTACACACCTATAATATTTAAATGATGGAACTTAACAAAAAAAGGGGATACAGATGAATGTCCATTTGGTATCTGTGTATTCAAAGTGGTTAGGATAGATATATAGTTACATTCTCTTAATGAATAGAGGGATTTGTTCTAATGGTGCTTGTAAATAGGATCCCAAGTCCGCATCTTGTACAGCAATTAACCACTAGGAAGAAAGTATGCAATGTGTTAATTATTGAAACTGCCCTACTAATTTGGTTTGAAACTGTCTCATTGCTATTTGTTTCTCAATAAAATTATGGAAAAAAAAGACGAAGTTTGGGCTCCAAACTTCCCAGCTGGTGGAGTAGGAGGAATTAAGCGACTTGCAGCTTTCGTTGCTGTTAATACGTGGATGCACTGAGTAGATGCATAGACTCCACTTTTGTCTTTTTGTGTCTGGCTTCTTTCAAATAGCGATAAGAAAATGTATATGAATATAAATGTGTAATATATGTATATGTGTATATATATACATCTAGAGAGAGAGAGAGTGCGCGCACACTTGGAATTGATCCCAGGGCTTTCACACTGAGCTATAGTCTCAGACCTTTTTATTTTTTGATACGTGCTCTTGTTACGTTGGTCAGGTTTGCCTTGAATTTGCAGTCATCCAAATATTCCCGGAGGCAGGCACCACCACACCCAGCTCACAATGATAGGTATTGTTGCCAAGGTTCATTCATGTCATAGCGTGGGGCAGCATTTCATTTCCTCTTATGGCTGAGCATTACTGTATGGTATACATACGTCACTGCCCACTATTGATTCCCATTTGGGTTGTTTCTACTTTATGAATGTTAAAGATTAATTTAGCTACAAATATTCATTACAGGTTTTGTGTGGACGTATTTTCATTAGCTTACTTTGAAAACTTTGTTTTAACTTTTTGTGTGTGGCTGGGAGTTCAAGTTCAGGCTGCGCTGTAGTGCAGTTGGTGTACTGTAACTCGCTTTGTAGTGCGTGCTTCATAATGAGACAGTTGAAAAGTTAGAGACAGTCGCAGCAGCGACCTCCTGCCTCTCCCTCCAGAAGGCTGGGGTTACAGCATGCACCGCCATGGCCCGCTCTTGTTTTGGCTTTTAAAGAACTGCTGCTATTATCCCCAAATTGACTGCCCTGTTTTCACACTACAACAGCAGTGAAAGAGGTCCTGATTTTCTCACCTTCTTGCCAACACCTGTTATTTTTTTATTTTTTTTTAAAGAGAATTAAAAAAAAGATACAGAGTTTTAAAACAAAATGATAGAAAATTGAAGTGGTTGTTATAGTGCATGCTGTTATCTTCACAGTAACTACTCAGTTATAGTGCATACTGTTATCTTCAGTCGTCCTGTTCTCAGCCTCCTCA